TCGGGCTCTGTGCTGACAGCTCAGAGCCTGGAGCCTGTTTCAGACTCTGTGTCTCCCTCTCTCTGACCCTCCCCTGTTCATGCTCTGTCTCTCTCTGTCTCAAAAATAAATAAACATTTTTTAAAAATTTTTACAAAAATAAAATAAAATCTCTTGGGTTGGGCTTATAACAACAAAGAGAAATTGCGGTATCAAAATTTGCCAGTAAAGTACAGGAATTCCTTAGTACTCCATCATAGCTTCTGAAGCCAATTTCTTGCAAGTAGCTAATTCCTCAGAAGTCTCAGAAACCTATGGGTTTCGCTCTCATCTTCCTTCTGGGACCCTAGAACCCCAGCAAACAGTAAGATGTGTCCCCCCCCCCCCCCCCCCCCCCACTCCTGGATCTTTCCCTCCACTCCCCCTGTACCACTCTATTGGATTCTCTCATGACCAACTGCAGACTGCTTGTGGGAAGGCTCTATGCCATGTGCATATCCACACATACCTTAGCACACTATTTGGATCCACTGGGCATTTATGGAATAAAAGAATGCATGTATGAACAATGATTTTAAAATATTGTTTCACACGTAAGTGGGAAAGACCACAAGGCTCTGAGGGTGGGGTTTTCGGGACCTGGAGCAGAGGTGTCCTACAAGTTGTCCAAATGTTATTATTCTGCCCCTGTGATCCCCTAATTTCTATACCCACACAGAATCAGAGGTGGGCAGATGTCAGCAAAAGTTCATACCCACATTTATTTTAACCTTTTGCCCACCATTTTTTTTTTTTCCTTTTTAATCAGGGAGAGAAACGAAGCAAGATACACAGATCAATGCATCCTTCTTCTCCTTTTTCTACCTACTATCCTGGGAGATGCTGAGCTGCAAAATGACTCAAAAGAAAAGGAGGTTGAAATGCAGGAACAAAGGGGCAAGGAAGCTCTAACCCAGGAAAAAGTCACCAAACCAACGGTGCAGCCAAGGGCAGGGGAGGACAGAGAGGCAGTTGGGTGATGGAGCCAGCAAGGACTCTGAGAGGGAGGGTAACCACTGGCTGATTCATGGGGAAACCAAACCTCAGAAGAGTTTGAAGGAACAAAAAAAGTGAAATGCTCAACTTTTGTATACTTACCAACAGGTGAGGAGGGGCACGGAGAGGATTCCCATCAAGGTAGCACCAGGAACAGAAATGGACGGAGAGCTCCAGGGCCATCATGGCAGGAGTGGGCCACAGAGCCACACATGTGGGCAGCAAGGGAGGCCTTAAAATCTGTGACTAGGTAGGAACCCAAAGGCATGGGAGCCATTCTCTGAATGAGGCGTGAAAATACAGACTGATCCTTCACAGACATGGGGATTAGCCAGACCAGGGGACCCTGAGGGGTCAGGTTGTCTTCTCTGGCTACGCCAGGCCACACAGAAGTCAAAGGAATACAACCAAAAGAAAGGAGGGCTGGAGGGAAAATACATCCGCTAGAACCATGGAGTCAATCCGAGGGGTGTGAATGCCACCTTCTGCTCTGACATCCTCAGGGATATGGGGATTAGACGTCAGCTTCAGTAGCCAGGAGACTCTAAAGCTCTCATTCAGCCAAGTTTGCCAGTCTCTTAGATCCCTTAGACCCCACCCCCTTCCATATCTCCACTCCCCTCCTCTCGTGGTAGTTAGCCCATCTCCTAACCTCAATTAATAATGAATATGAACATGAATGCCAAGTCATTAACGTGTGAGATTGTGATCTAGGGGGAACTGACAAGTCAGAAATTTGTAGTATGAAATCATTCATTCATTCAACCAATATTAGTGAAAAGCCCACAGGGTACAAGCAATGAATTATGGGAGGACTCTTGAGCTCTGAAGTTTCAAAGGAATAGAACATTAGCTTCCCCAAATCCTTTCATAAAATCTCACCAACGTCTCCAGTGGTTCTCTAAAAAGATACTTTTTCATCATTTTGGTATGTAGAGGCTTGATAATGGAATCTATTTGCAAAACAATAGGTCAGAAAAAAACCCAACCCTCCAAAGAAACCAAAACTAAAACCCTCAGCTAAAAACAAAATCTACAAGTCTTATCTGAAATATACTGAGATAATGGAACTGAAACCCTGTAAAAGCCCCTGGGGTGTAATTTGTCTCTTAATTCTTAATGATAGGGAGAATGGAAGATAGAGTCAAAGATTATTCATATTCACTTGCATACTGTGTGAGTTTTTAAATCACTTAAAAATCAAATTTATTTTTATGCAAGTATTACATGCACATAAAGAATCAAATCTATAAGGCTTATAAGCAAAAAACACCCAGTCCCTTGGCCTGCTTCACCCACCTGGGTTCATTCACTTTCCACTCTCTTAGCTGTTTTTTTTTTTTTTTTTCTTTTTTCTGGTATTTACTTGAATAATGTCCACATTATGCCGTCTTTTGATTCAGCTATTTCAGAGATCATGCACTGACTTTTCATAGTGGTGAAGATTTCACTCCCCAGCATTCCCATTTCATGGCTGATATTCAGGTGACACAGTTACAACCAAATGAGTTGTTTCAACTCTACAAAATGAACTTCTATATTGGCTGGCATTGAAGCTCCCTCTGTGCCCAGTCCCTGTCACCCTAGCTGCTCCAGTGTGTTGACCACTATCTGCCCTGACTGCCCAGTGTCCTTCCTCTACTAATTCCCAATCCTTTCATCCTAATAGAACTCTTCCAATTTTTTACTGAATTCAGATTTGAGGTGTTCCTTATTGTCTATATAAATACGGGTCACTGTGAGGCCCATTTGTGACTATGACTACATTTCTTTTCTTGTACAATATTCTGCTTTTACTATAGTGAATAATTGCCTGATTTTTTTCTTTCTCTGAACATCTGAATACCACACAATATCTCCTTTATACAATTTTCCAGGTAAACCATCACTCATTTTGTCAGTTATATTTCCTCTTCCTGAAAATACTCTTCTCTAGTCCTACATATTCATATTCCAACCTGGTCTGACTGGACTCTTCTCCAGATTTGCTGAAGTGTCCTGTGGACTTGAGCTTGCCACTCTCCATCTTGTAGCCTCTTTGCTAGACCCCATGGTTGCTGCTTTATTGTTTACCCCATGTAGCACAGCACATTCACTAGCAGTGTCCCAAACAGCATGTTTTTGGGGTTAAATATATATATATGTGTGTGTGTAATATATATATAATATATAGAATATAATAATATATATAATATATAATATAATATATAATATATAATATATATTTTATATATTTATATTTATATATATTTATATTTAAATATAATTTATATATATTTATAATATATATTATATATTTATACATATAAATATGTAAATTATACATAATATATAATTTACATATCTTAAATATATTTACATACATATTGTAAATATATTTACATATATTACATATATAATATATATATAAATTACATATATATATGTAATTTTTATATATATTTATAAAATTAGAAAAGGGGGGAGGGGCAGAGACAGAAAGAGAATCTCAAGCAGGCTCCAGTGCAGAGCCCAACTTGGGGCTCAGTCTCATGACCCTGAGATCATGACCTGAGCTGAAATCAAGAGTTGGACACTTAACTGAGCCACCCAGGTGCCCCCCAAAATATATTTTTTAAATATATACTTATTTAGATTTTGCATGTTTGAGAATGGCTTTAGGTTAACCTCTCACTTGATTGATAGTTTGGCTAGGTATAGATTGCTAGGTTGCAAATCATTTATACTGAGAGTTTCCAGGTTATATTGCTCCAGAGACTTCTAGATTAAAAATTAGTGTTTAGTAGTTTGATGCCATGCCAATGTCTCTTTATGATCTTTTCCCTCTACTGGAAGCTTTTAGGAACTTCTCTTTATCTAACATTCTCAGTGATGGGCCTTGGTATGGGTGATTTTGTTTTTTTGTTTCTTGTCTTTTTTCATTCCTTGTGCTGAATACTCAGTGGGGCCTTTTCCTTTAGGAATTTTGGAATCCATCTGGGGCTAGTGTCTTATATTATTTCTATTTCTTTACTCTTGTTAAATTGAGATATATTTCACATACCATATTAATTCACTCATTTAAAGGTACAGTTCAATGGGTTTTAGTATATTCACCAATCAACCACCACCAACATCAATGTTTTTTTTAATGTTTATTTATTTTTGAGAGAGAAACAGAGTGTGAACAGGGGAGGGGCAGAGAGAGAGGGAGACACAGAATCCAAAGTAGGCTCTAGGCTCCAAGCTGTCTGCACAGAGCCCAATGCAGGGCTTGAATCCATGGACCATGAGATCATGACCTGAGTCAAAGTCAGACACTTAACCAACTGAGCCACCCAGGTGCCCCTGCCCATGTCAATTTTAGAGCATTTTCATCACTCCCAAGAGAAACCCTATACACTCCCCATTCCTCCTAGCCTCTCCCTTCCTCCATCCCTAGGCAACCACTAATCAATTTTCTGTTCCTATAGATTTGCCAATTCTAGAGGTTTCATGTAAGTGGAATTGCACAAAAGTCTTTTGTGAGTGACTTCTGTCACCTAGCATGCTTTCAAGTTTCATCCACATTGTTAATATGTACCGTACTTATTGCCAAATAATATCCCATCAATTGGATATACCATATTTTATTAACTTATCAGCTGATAGACATTTGAGTTGCTGCTACAAACATTCATGTACAAATTATTGTGTAGACATGTCTTCAATTCTTTGAGGTTTAGAACTTAGACTTGAATTGCTAGGTCATATGGTAACTGCATTATGTTTAAGAATTTTGACTCCTGGATATTTTTCTGCACTTTTTTGAAAAGGGTATCAATTAGATATTGGACCCTCTGAATTTATTCTCTTTACTCTTATTTTTTCTAAATTGTCATCTCTTAATCTGGTTCTACTTTTGGGAAAATTTCATTATTATCCTCCAGCCTTCATACCGAAATTCTTTCAACTTTTACACCTTTAATTTTCAAGAATTTTTTTTAAATGAATGGAATATTGAGAACTTTTTTTTTTTTTTTTTAATGAATGGAATATCTTGTTACCTCTGGGAGGATAACAATTATTCTGGAACTTTGTTTTGTATTTATCTCTGGCTTTTCTGAGGTCCTATTTTCTCTTTGGTTTTTGTGTTCTTGTTTTCATTCATTCAGTTAATCAATATGCATTGAGAAACTATCATATGCCAGGTACTTTTCCAGGTGCTTGGGATACATCAGAACAAAGATTACTGCCTTTATGGCACTCAGTCTTTGGTCTCTGCATTTAGACTTTCCTCAAATGTCTGGTGAATCTCAATTTGTATATTTATTATTTTTTAAAACTTATATAAAATGCATAAATAAGTGTATAGCTAAATAGTTACACATATGTATACAGCCATGTGAACAACACTCAGATCAAGATCTAGGACATTTCCTTCACCTAAAAGAATTCCTAGTGGTTATTTCCAATTAATATCTCCCCTCTCCCCATGCATAACCACCATAGATTAGTTTTGCCTATTCTGATTTCATACACCGTATGCACTCTTCTGTGCCTGGCTTCTTTTATGCAACATAATGTCTTTGAGATTCATCCATGTTGTGTGTATATCAGTAATTCATTTAAAAAAATTGTGTTGGGTTTCATTATAAGTATATGCTATAATTTATTTTTTCATTCTACTACTGATGGATATTTGGGTTGCTTCCAGTTTTTTATTATGTCCACTTACTTTTGAAAGTGAAATACAAAAATGCTTCTGGAAGTTCTAGGTAAGTGGGACTTAGGCACTAAATGGCGCTACAGTAGGGTTACTGGAGTGGTCAGTTGGACATGTGGTTTGGGATCTCCAAATACCACTATCTGTATAGGTTGTTCAATTTCTCTACAGGATTGTCTAAGATACATGAGCCAAACTGCTAGTATTCTGGAACTTCCAAGTCTTACCATTCCAGTGGAACATTTTATTCTGACCTTTTTTTTCCCCCCTGAGTTTCACCCTTACTGTCCAGGGACTCTTTATTTCAATTTTCTCCAGAAAGTAAGTTCCTTTGGCAGAGGCAATTACTGACAGTGAGTGGAGGGGGGACATGATCTCATTTTTAGGTTCCTCTATCTCATCTCAGCCTTTTACAGTGTCCTCCATTCTTCAGTGTTCTAGAGATTCTGGGAGCAAATTGGCAAATTTCTCTTACCAATGTCTCTCTCTGCAGACACTTAGACTTGATCTTCCTCTGACCTGCTAATTCATTACTCTTTCCTCCATACACATTCCTTCTTCATATGCTATGGTCTGGGCAACATACCTCTTGGTTTCTTCAGAAGACGAGTGTGTGTTTCTCTTACTCTTGCTATTTTGGGGTAAATACTACACAAGGAGAAAAATGGATTCAATAGATCTCCATTTCCTTTCACCTCCTTTGTCAAAATTAATGGCTTCTCATCACCAATTCTAAAATGTACAAAGTTCTTAAGAGCTGACCCTGCCTCTGTTCAAGTTCACCTATGACAAGTTTTTGTTTTCTTTTTTTAATTTTCCTTATAACAAATCTTTTTAGACAAGACCTATACATCAAGCCTTACCTGATGGTCCTCAGTACACCATGCATTTGGTCTGACAACCACCAGCCTTGGGATATTCCCTTCACATTGCCAGGAATCCTCCTGATTATTTGCCTAAAATATCCAAAACTGCAGAAATGTCACCTCCTCCGCAAAGACTTCCATGACTTCTCAAAGTTTGCCACATATACATCTATATAGCATTTACTGCTTTGCATGATCATTGTTCATATGGTCATTCTCTTCACTAGAATATAAACTTCTTGAAGACAATGTTTATCCTATGAACGTTTTCATTTCCTTCATCAAACCAAGTATTAATAGTGCTTACAGCATGCTCACTATGTAAACTTTGTGCCAAGTAGTAGTCTAAGGATTTTATATTATGAACACATTTACTTCACATAATAATATTAACATCGTTCCCATGTTACATTAGAGAAGACAGCAACACAGAGAGGTTAAGTAACTTGCCCAATGTTATTTAACTCTTAATAATAACCAATAGGGGCACCTGGGTGGCTCAGTCAGTTAAGCGTCTGACTTCGGCTCAGATCATGATCTCATGGTTCATGGGTTCAAGCCCTGCATCAGGCTCTGTGCTAACAGCTCAGAGCTTGGAACCTGCTTCGGATTCTGTGTCTCCCTCTGTCTCTGCCCCTCCCTCGCTCACACTCTGTCTCTCTAAAAATAAATAAACATTAAAAAATTAAAAAAAAAAAAAACAAAACCAATAGATGATCTGGCTCTGAGACTATGCTCTGAACCTGACTTTTGAACTGAGTAGATGCCTAACGTGTATTTGTTGAATGGATGAATCAACGTGAAGGTAGAGAAGGAAAAACCATAGCCTTCAAAAGAAGTCAAACAAATTCAGTGTCAGAGATAGCCATATTTTGAAGCCAACAAAAAGTTTTATTTTATTGACTTTGTTCTCCATTGCAGCCCAAGCCATAAAGACCCAGAGAAAGGGGGCTAGGATAAAATTTCTGTTGTCTACTGTTATGGACTGAGTATTTGCATGTCCTCAAAATCCCTAGTTGAAGCCCTAACCCCCAGTGTGGTTCTATTTGGAGACGGGGCCTCTAAGGGAATAATTTAAGATTAAATGAGGTTATATGGGTGGGGCTCTGATCCAATAGGATTAATGTCCTTACAAGAAGAGATACCAGCACTTCTACCCCTACGTATATACAAAGGAAGAGAGACCGCACCAGACCCCGAATTTGCCAGCCTCTTCATCGTGGATTTCAAGCCTCCAGAAATATGAGAAATTGAATTTCTGTTGTTGAAGCCACCCAGTCTGATATTTTGTTACAGCAGCTCAAGTACACTAATATAGTTTGTAATGGCTGAAGTATGGAAAACAGATTTTCCTTCACTTCTTCCAGAAATCAGCTGCTTTAATGTGTTTTCTCTCCTTTGGAACTGGATTTGACCTTCTTGTGTTGTACTTTCGTTTTTGTTTTTTGTTTAAAGGAAATTTTAAGACTCCATGCAACCCAGCCTTCTTCATACCACAAGGAGGCTGATGTTTGATTTTGTTTTCCTTCAATACTGCCTACAACTATAGATTTTCTTCCTTTTCATCTTAGCTAATTCATGCTTTATGCAGGAATTCAATCTCTCTTCTTAGAAGAAAACACTTCTAATCTCTCTTAGAAACGTACACTTAACCAATACTTTTACTTGTATCAGCCATGCTTATCCTGGTTAAAAATGGCAACATACTGTCTTGTCCAGTGGTCTTTGATTCGGAACTCTCCTATAACTGTGGAGTGGAACTTTGGGCTCTCTGAGGGATTTCAAGTTTCAGCTGTCTGGGACCTTTAAGGTATAACAAACTTTTTTTTTTTTTTTTTTTAATTATAAAAATTTCCAAACAGACAAAAGAGTAGAGGAATGGGGCACCTGAGTGGCCCAGTCAGTTAAACGTCCAACTTCAGCTCAGGTCATGATCTCACGGTTCGTGAGTTCGAGCCTCGCATCCGGCTCTGGGCTGACAGCTCAGAGCCTGGAGCCTGCTTCAGATTCTGTGTCTCCCTCTGTCTGCCCCTCTGCTGCTTACACTCTGTCTCTCACATTGTCCCAAAAATAAATTAACGTTAAAAAAAATAAAAAAAAAAGAGTAGAGGAATGGATACATTATACAGATCCACTATTAAGATTTTTGCCACATTTACTTAATCTATTCTTTTTTTCTTTGCTGACATATTTCTGAGAAAATCCAAGACATGAAGTCATTAAATTCTATGTATCTCAATATGTATCTCTTAAAAAAGGAAGACATTTTCTTAGGGGCATGTGGGTGGCTCACTTGGTGAAGCATCTGACTTTGGCTCAGGTCATGATCTTATGGTTTGGGAGTTCAAGCAACACATCAGGCTTTGCACTGACAGCTCAGAGCCTCAAGCCTGCTTCGAATTCTCTGTCTCCCTCTCTCTCTGCCCCTCCCCACTCATGCAGTCTCTCTCTCTCTCTCAAAAATAAGTAAATAGACATCTTAAAAAAAGGAAGACATTTTCTTATATAATCATCAATGCAATTATCCAGGAAAGTTAACAATTGTTTATAGGCTATTGAAGTGAAACACCTCATACAGAATTTTATGCCATAAAAAACTTAGCACTATATTAGAATAGCAATATTCTGTAGCCTCACAACAATTTAATTTTTTTTTTAAATTTTTAATGTTTATTTTTGAGAGAGAGACAGAGACAGGGTGCCAGCAGGAGAAGGACAGGGAGAGAGGGAGACACAGAATCCAAAGCAGGCTCCAGGCTCTGAGCTGTCAGCACAGAGCCCAATATGGGGTTCGAACTCACGAACTGCAAAACCATGACCTGAGCTGAAGTCGGACACTTAACCGACTGAACCACCCAGGTGCTCCTGTAGCCTCATAACAACTTTAAAGTGAAATTTAGTATGTTGAGAAATGCAGGATGCTTATTTACCACTAAGCTGAGCTCAAGATGCCTGAGATAATTAAAAAATACATAGTTTTAAGATTTCAGTTCTTTGTACATTATTTTAATAAAAAACACACTGCTGTTACAAATATACAGATATCAAATTGTAACATTAAAATACAGAGTGAAATACAGTGGCTTTATAAATTTTCTTCAATGAGACAGATTTTCTGTCACATTTAAACATTTATGATTAAGTCATAATAAACAAGGGAAGTACAGATTTTCCAACCTCATGATTAGTAAATTCCTCTGCAAGTGAATGAAGTCGTACAGTCATCAAAAGGAGAAAAGTTAGATGGCCTTGTCTGCATTGTATTACTGTGACAAAGAGGTACAGTAAGAGCTATAAGAAACTGTAGTGAAATGTTAGAAGTATAGGCAACATAGCTTTCTCAGACTTCTACCAATAATTATGTCCTTGATAAATAAGCATCCTTAAATGTAAAATAGTTCAGTATGACTACATCTATTTTTGTTCCGCAATGACAATTTGTTAATGTATTAATGCGACATATATTTTTGAACTGCAATCATGTGGAAATAATGAAAAACCCTAAGAAGAAACTACTAGTCCTAAGTCAAATAATATTTAAAAGTTGAAAGGCCTGTGGAGAACAGAAGTGTGAACAAGAAATACTGGCTCCATGCCAATTTTTATTTCTAACAGAAAGTCTTATATAAATAAGTCTTCTTTGTCTTACAAAACAAAACAAAAACACAAAAATCCTAAAAATAACACCACAAATCCAAATTAGCTGAACTTGGAGTAACAAAGTCAAAGCCAGTCTTCTCATCTGCATATCAATGTGATAAGTCAAAACTGCATTGAAAAAAAACAAAAACAAAAACAAAACCCAAATGCATCTGCTCCTGGCTCCTAATCAGAACAGAGGATTACTTTTAGCATTTAAATAAAGATACCTGTTACACTGCTCTTTTTCAGAGAAAGATGTACATCAGAAATCTAATAGAATGTGTTACTCGTGGTATTCCACAAAAGCTGTAAGATAGCCAAGAGTTGATTACATTTAAGGACAGTAAAAGTTTGCACTCTTAATACCCACTGATCTCTTTGTGCCAATATTCAAAAAATATGCTTTTCATCACTAAAGACAAAATGATAAGGAAACACAATGATTACATTCTATGTCAGCATAGAGCTACTATATTTGTATAAAGGAATCACTAGTTAAAGAGTTATTTGTCTTTTTAAAGGAAGCCCTGTCTAGGCATTAGGCTGTAATCTAAATGTTGATAGTGCCGAATTTCAACTCGCAAGATAAACAAAAAGAGCTGTCAAGAGGTGTCAAGATTAATTCTCTTTGGCCGCAACGGATACCATTTTCTCTGGGGACAGTCTTTAGTTTGCCTTCTTTTCAGTACCACATCAGTGGCTTTCCTGGTAGAAGTCTCTGTTGGTGTGGTTTCTATTTGTGTAATAAAGCTCTCAGGTTTAACATCTGGTTGCTTGTAACAAGCGGAAAAGACTTCTTGGTGGACTCTCTGGAGCTGGATAATAGGCTGCATCTTTAAAACTTGGGAAAATCCATTTCCTTGTTCAATTAATGCAGGCAAGGACTTAAACAAACAACAGTAATACTTAACATTAATCTCAGTTTGAAACACAACCACACAGAAACAGATACAACACTCGAGATTTTAATTCTTTAGGTCAAGGCTTTTCTAAGACCTAATTATTTGGGTCATGGATATTTGCTTTTACCTTAAAATACCAATTTTAAATGCTGAGAGATTTTAACCAAAAACTAAAACTAAAAAGATATATTCTATTCCTACAATGTCTGGTAATAAAATAAAACAAAACTTTGGCAACAGGAAGTTAACAGAATTTCAGAGCCAAGGATTTGATGTCTGAGATTCCATATTTTAGGATAGTAAGTATTTTGGAAATCCCAATCATCAAGACCAGGCAGGGATCAGTACATTTTTCCTGTAAAGGGCCTCACATCCCTGTCACAATTACTCAACTCTGCCATCGTAATGTAATGGAGCCACAGACAATAAGTAAATGGATAGGCAGAGCTGTGACATGAAGTTTTATTTACAAAAACAAGTGCAGGCTGGGTTCTTGCCTGGCTCACTAGTTTGCTAACTCCTGATAAAGAACATGCAATGGGAGAAGCATGAGCACCAGAAAATCATGGAATCAATACAAACCACAAAAGAATGTCATAGAAAATTATCAGAACAAGGAAGATTCAGGAGTTTTTTAAAAATAATTTTCATATACTAGAAATCCAAATGTTTTCTTGTTTGCATAAAATAAATGTCGAGAAGATAAACAATTTTATTATAATACTAAGACTCCAAATTGAATACGCAGCATACATAATACAGTGATTAAGAGTATACTGGGGCTTCTGGGTGGCTGAGTTGGTTAAGCATCTGACTCTTGATTTCAGCACAGGTCATGATCTCACAGCTCGTGAGATTGAGCCCCACACAGGGCTCTGCAGTGACAGCGCGGAGCCTTCTTGGGATTTTCTCTCTTCCTCTCTCTCCACCCCTCCCCAATGTGCACATGCGTGATCTCTCTCTCTCTCTCTCTCTCTCTCTCTGTCAAACTAAATAAATAAAACTTAAAAAAAAAAAAACAAG